TCATTGATAGCTCACAGATAACTCTTCTTGATGATCACATTGATTTTGCAAAAGGTCAAACAGGTCTCAGGTATTTTCTTAAACTTGCAGCACAAGATTGAGAATATAGTGAATGTTTAGAAGCGGTCAGTCCATTCACTTGTGTCCCTGTTGAAGTCAGTGGCAACCCCGGACTGGTGCAGTGTCCGTGGCGTGGACTTAACATCGTGTTGAGTGTCATATGTTCTCCAGTAGGTCCGTCATGAAGGAGATGTAGACGATGGCGAGGCGCAGGGTCTCGATGCGGGACAGTCTCTTCTCGTACGCGAATGTGGGAACTTTCCTCCTCAGTTCGTCAAACGCCTCGTTCAGGCTGAACATCCGCTTTCTCTCCCTCACGTTGGCCGCGTGGCGCTGCACCACAGTGATGATCCTCCTGCGTCTGGATGTGGCGTGACCGTGCGCCCCGCGGCTATAGTACCTCTGCGGGCCCATCGCCAGAAGCTCGGTGCGGAGCTCCACTGTGCGCACGTCGTTTTCCAGGCTCCGGCTCCAAGACGAGTCGCCCTGGTTGCTCGGGCTGGGTGTGGTATTGTCCCCCTGCTGCTTTGGTCCCAATGTGAATTTCTGCGGAAACTCTATCAGGCTCATGTCATTGACAAAATTGATTAATGCAGAGTCCACTAAGCGGCCTGGCAGCTCCACATCCATCCTCCAACTGCAGCCTCATAGAGAATATGTCACTTTTATGCGTCTGCTTCTCAGTCAAGCACAAGAAGTGACGCCAATCACAGGTTTCAGGACAAACTTAAGTCCTTCACCAGACACAGAGGCGGAAGCAGGAGCAGCATCTCAGAAAGTGAATCCAGATCCGGACAAAGCTCAACAGGGTGAGATCCTATTTGGCTCAAATCCAAGGCCCTTTCCTGCTGTTTTAATAAGTTGCCTGTGTCACTTCACAGCGCCACATCTTCCAGCTCTAGATGGAGTCTATTTCTGTCCTTCAGTCGGCCCACAAGTGGGCTGAATCCGGGGAGAGAGGCTTAAACAGGCCGAGAGGAAACTGGAGGGCCCTGCCAATTGATGTGCTGTCCTGGAGGCCCTTAATGAGCTTCTGAAGAACGGAGGCTCTTGACAGAGGGTCATACAGTCTTGTTTGCACTCTCTCCTCTGCTTTAGAGGCTAAATAATGACACTTTTACCACTTAAAACGGGCCAGGGGAAGACCAAACAGAACATTCCCTAACAGTCACTATACACCACAAGCTTTTCTGTTGCAAATTAAAGCAAATAGCCCAACTGTCCGTTCCCATGGAAAGACAGTGTCCACACTGCAGGGCCTGCTGAGAGGAGGTGGTCTGGATGTGAGGCAGTGCTTGGTCATCAGTGGCACAATTTTTAAATTTTTTAGATTATAGTTGCACAGATCATAGAAGCTGAGTCTGACCTGTTTGATTGAAACTTTATGAACCTTTAAAAAAAACTTTATTTG